TTTTTTATAATTGATAGTGAAAAAAATTCGATAATAACTCATGACGGTTCAGTATACTAATAGTAATATTAATATTAATAATAATAATAATAATGAAGTTCATTTCAAAAACACGCTTCATCCCCAAAGGCTCGAAGCGCGGTACAATGTCAACAAAATACAAATCTATAATTTACCACATTTAAAACAAACGCAACACTACAAAAACTAATTACTAGCATACAATTGCAAAGTCTTTCTAGCCATTTCAACCCCAATATTAATAGCCTACATCCAACAATAATTTTTCACCAGTCTAGATCTAATGCATTATATGATTATTCGCAGATTTCGGTCTGCCGATAACGCTAAACATTATTCACAGAGCTGTGTGGATAACGCTCGCCGTTATTCACAGATTTCGGTCTGCCGATAACGCTAAACGTTATTCACAGAGCTGTGTGAATAACGCTTCCCTTTTATTAAAGTTTCAAAACGCTGACCACTTGGGTATGCAGCATATATTTCCTCCATGGATACCAAGGAGTGCCAGATCTATCAAAAATTCTTTCTCTGACCAGTTTTTTTTTAGTCACTTTTATATTTTCTTATCAATTTACAGTGAACAGAGTTATCCCACAATAATTCACGAAAAAATCATAACTTTCTTTAGAATTGACATACAACCATAACTTAGGTATCAATAATCAATCAATTGCTTTTTAAAGCCCTATCTAAATAACAGGGTCTTAAACATGTAACTTCATTTAAGAATTGTGTCAAAGTACCTAGATACTATCATTATCATTGATGGTATCTTCTTTAAACTAATTTTACTTTGAGCATTAAAACCTCTGCAGTCTGCTGCTCAATTAAATATTGCCTGCAAATAATAATCCGTACTGCTATTCATATTATATTAATAATCAGTGTAGGACTAACAGGATTTATTAAAAAATAAGTTTTCTAGCCTGGGACGGGAATCATTAAAAAAAAAAATTAAAGATGACTCAATGATATAAATATAAATAATAAATTAAAAATTTAGTGGTACTCCAAAAATAGTCATTTCACCTCCTGGGCTATTGGTATCGACGTTATTCTGTTGGCCAACTACTTCAGGTTGACTAATTTAGTTTTCTCGTGGCAATAGTTACATGTCTGTGGTTAGATTTTCAGTTGCTGAATAACTTATTAAATAAAGTTCTTTTAAAAGAGAGCAGATTGTCCTGTCAACAAGGAGTATTATGACGTAAACACGATATAAAAAAATGCCGCTTAAAACATGTTCTACAGTATAAATTACAGACATATAGAACGAATCCAGTTACATAACGTAACACAAAATACATTGAATTTATATTATATTGATTAAATTGTACATTGACACCATGGTTTAAGCAACATTATTATTACAAAAATCTTTTTCATAGCTGTAAACAATATGGTTCCTCTGCTTCATTTAACTTCCTTAACCTTATTGGCTAAGTACAAGGCTGAAACCTTTCCGCATCACGAGAGCAGTCAAAAAAAATTAAAATCATACTAGAGTGTTAATTTTAACAATAAAAGTACTACTATATTGAAATAAAAATTTAAAAATTCATTTTAAAATATTATGATATGCGTTCAAATTTTTTTTTAAATAATATTTTTTTTGCAAACTTCAGGCAGTAAGTGCATCTGTACCTGTGAGTACACAATTTTTCCATTCTACATACAGGATGCTGTGCAATATTATTCTTCGATGTGCCTTTTAAGCGTTTGACATATTTAGTAGTTTTTTCACACTTCAACACATAGTTAAACGTGTTATTATAATAAATATACATTAAAAACAAATAATGTTAACATAGATTGCTAAATAAAATAATTTAATTTATAGAAAGTAAAAAAAGTTATTGTTTTGACCTTTAGATCATTACAGAACTAAAATAACTTAATTATTTATATGCTATAAATATAATGAATAATGTCAGCCATAATGAATCCAGGCACAACAAATGTCATCTAGATTAGTTCATAGGAATATGACATAGCATAGGCATAGGAACTTAACTTAAACACATTTTTAGTAGTATATTATAATTATAAGTAACAAGAATAAGTTGACACATCATCAAGGAGACGGATCATGATTGCATTAGTTGGACCTGCAGGGTTTTGTAAGTAGACTGTAAATTGTAGAAAGTGTAGTTGATGAAATTGGGCATTGGCATTGGGTGAAAGTTTATTGAATGTTTTTGATATTCATGGTTTGGTATTGTTATATTATTATTATTAATTATTATTACTTTTATGTGTAAGTATTGGCTCGTTATTATTACTTGTATGGTAAAGTATTGGTTTAGTGAATTAAATGTGGAAATCTAAATAGCATTTAAAATTAAATGAAAGAAACCAATTACTAAAACTTAAAACAGAAATTGAAATAAAAATAAAAGAAAGAATATCAGTATCACTAATATTCAGGAAACAGGGCATACTTCAGTGTCAGTAGTCAGAAAATACTCAAAAGTAAAAAACTTTACATGAAAAACAAAGAAAACTGTTTATAAAAATAAAACTGTAATCAGACCAGTTGTATATCTGACATTCGCAAGTGAAACTAGGACCCTTACAAAAAAAGCAGAAAACCTTTAAACACGACATGGGAGAGAAAAGTTCCCAGAAAAATATATGGACCAACTAGGCATGAATATGGATGGAGAATACGAACCAACCAGGAATTGTACAGTCTATATCAGGATCCCACGATAGTAGCAGAAATAAAAAACGGGGAAGCTACATTGGGCAGGACACTTGGAGAGAATGCCAACTGACAGAGGAATGAAGAGGGTACATCACTGAAACCCCAGAGGAAAACAGCTCAAAGGCAGACCTACTCTTAGATAAGATGGGTGATGTGGAAAAGACCTACAGCAGCTGGGAATCCAAGCATGGAAAAGAAAAGCATTAGTTAGATGTGAGTGGAAGGAAGTAGTGAGGCATGCCAAAGCCCTACATGGGCTGTAGCGCTATGGGGATGGATGGATTTAAAATTAATTGTATTGAACTGTATGCATACTGTTAAACTTTCTTACTTAGGAACCATCAATACTTTGGAGCATTTTCTACCTCCACACCCCCCATAATCAGAAATCATCAAAAAATAAATAAAATTTGACCCTTGGATCACCAATATGTAATGGTTGCATAGATTACATACATTATTACCTTGAAAAATATCAAATTTTCATACCCCCCCCCCCCCCCCCCCCCACCAACCCACCTGCAAATGGGGGTGGTAAATGGGGCATCCCAACGCACCAACTTAAAGAGGACATCAAAATCTTCCTTTTTCATGCAAAATATGTGTAGTACTACATATTTTTTATTTGTGGATGAAATAGCTCTCTGCCTAGTTAGGTCACACAGTCACACACAGGAAAACATATTAGCACCATGAGGTTCCCCGAAATGCCAGATTGAATTCCAGCAAGCTTGACCGGTTGTACCGGTTTACTCTGGGGCCGACCCCTTGACCTCATTTTTTAAAATATCCTTTTTTGCGTCACCTGGGGGCTGGAAATAAATTTTAAGACTTTTTCCAGGAATATCCTGTTTTTTTATCTGGAATGCTCCGGATTTGATTCTGATGCTGGACTGAAAGTAAGTAAATTCTGGAAAACCGGAAAAACATGACCGACCGGCTCCAGAGCAAATGGGTCCAACCAGTAATATTTTGCAGAATCCAGTTGCTGAAATTCATTTTGACATTTTTGGAACCCCTAGGGTGCCAAATTTAGTCACAGCACCAATATTGCATCTTGAAAAATATTGGTTATTATTTAATGCACTAAAGCCATAGTTACCTTTTGGAAGGATAATTAAATTCACTATAACAATACTTCACTACTTGCATTATTTTGCATTCAAACAACGCTTAAAAAAATTCTCTTACTCAACAAATTAAAAAAACTGATGAGTCATCTCATAATCTTATGTTAAAATAAAATTATTATTTCTGTTGTAGTTATTCATTTAAGAATCAGTGCATATCAAATTATATTTATGAATACTAAAACTAATATTTAATTAAACAACCCTGAAAAACAAAGTTTTGTTATACATCCTTTATATGCATTTTTATTATTTTATTTGATATTAATATTCTAATTTCCCACAAGCTTTTACATGGCAGATTTACTTCACCAACTATTTCAGAAAAACAAAAGAAAATATAACGCACCTAACGCAATTGTGATATTTTTTACAAATCTCATTTATCATTTATTGGGTATTTTATTTCATGAAATCAGTGGCTTCCTTCATATTCCCCTTGAAAAATAGGAAAAATTGATTTTTGGTGGTTGGGGGCTGAAAATTTGATAGAATGTATTGTCATAAGCAAAGTCTATGTGCCAAGTTTCAGCTTCATAGGTTGATGGGAAGTGGATCAATTAGCCCTCCGAAGATTCTGCCACACACTCTGACAGAAAGAAACACATGAACAAAAGCGAAGTTAATATAAAGGATTTAAAAATAGGAATAAAGTAGTACTTTAGTCCAAAGTGATTAATAATTTAGGCATATGGCTACTACAATTAATTTTTGTGATAAAGTTAAATAAAAAGCAAAAAAAATTATTATTAAAGTTAAGCCAAAGAAAATTGTTCAAAAGAGAATTGGCAGTTTATGATCAAACAGTGCAACACTAAATAATTAATTGCCAAACATATATCTCTGTGACAAATACATATATATATCTGAGGAAAGCGATTTCACCAAAAATCTCATCATGTTCCTTAGTGAAGGGGGCACTAGCATTTGATTAAATAGAGAGAGAGAGCAGATTGGCTTTCTGTGAAAACAAAACACCCAAATCCTTTACATTACTTTTTATTTTTTAATGAATTCCTGATTTTAAATAGAGTTCTAATGTGTTTTGACTTTTGTGTTGATAAATCCCAGTTGAATTTGTCAAATAGTATAAATTGCATACTAGTTATAGTTTGACTTGATTACTCTCAAGTAGGGGTCTCAAGCTTAAACCCCCATGAAGGTCTCATGAGGATGTTTCGATGTTTAAAAGGGATAGAGCACACATACATGTTTTAATTTTAATAGAACATTTTAAAAAATAATGTAAAATGTAACTGTGAATACATTCATTATACTATACTAGATTGAAAATCATACTCAATACTTATGCTGCTTTACTAGAATTTAAAATTATCAATAATATCTAATTGGAAATCTTTGTGTTTCATTATTGGAATCCAGATTTTTGGTCAATCAGCTGACATGTATTAAATATCAAATATTCATTTATGAAAGATTTGCAAAAATTTTGAATACCGTTCTCTGACTATTGACATTTTAGGATTGTTTCTTTTTTATTTTAAACTGCATTTTTTCCCCCCATATTCTAAAGATAATCGACATGTACATTTTTTGAGTTTGTTTCATATCCATCTTTTTAATGTTATTTTATGTACTTTCTAGATGGAGCACCAGTAACCAAAATTCTGCTGTGCCATGGTGTCATCACATACTTTTTGTTTACATTTCCTTTACAACATTTTCACCACTGGTTTCATTACAACCAGGATGTATATGCAAAACAACAGGTAACCAGTTTTTGCCTTGACACCAATATTTAATTTACTGAAGCAGTGAAATGCTTAAAATTGTTTTAAAAATAATTCCTCTAATCTCTATTTTTTTTTTCAAAGAAATTTCTTATAGTCTACATTTTTTAAAATTGATTGGAAATATTTTACTATTTCATAGCCAAAATGTATTAATTTGCTCTTGTTTAAAAGAACATTTTTGAATGTTTTCTTTTCCAGTTCAGAAAAATGTTTATGTCAAAGATAGTTTTCTTGGATTTACCAGACTTGATCTTCACTTCTTTGCTTATATACAACTTTAGGATATTTGAGAGAAGGTTTGGATCCAGGAAATTTGTGGTAATTTTAATTCATTTCAGAGATAAAAGAAAATGTTGAAAATTTAAAATGCAGTTACACAATGTTTACCCTAAGAAGATTTGTAAAAATCCCATCTCTGTACATTTGTATCAGATTTTTATATGAACAATTTATTGTGTGTAATTCAGTTGTATAATCATTTCAAATGTATAATATTGGTAATGGTACTTGAAATGACATTGATTCAGTGTAAAAAAATTAAAAGCTGGCAAATTTGTCAAGTAGGAAAACGAAGTGGCTATTCGGACCGGGTCCGAGAGCGAGAGGTTGGGATTTAAAAAATTTTTTTTACAAATATTGTTAGGTTAAAGGGACCCGGGTCCGAATAGCAGCGCTGCGTGTCCGAGTCCATTTTGACTAAATGCTATTTGGATGTCATTTGTTGTAGTTTATTTTAGTTAAACTGAAGAAGTAAGTAAACAAAAATATAGTCCATTCAATTATCTTTCATTTGATACCTTTTTTCTTACAAACCCTACAATAATTTTTAAATATTTTTTAATAAACCAATACTCTCACTTCTCCGACCCGGGTCCAAATAGCGCAGCCTTGGGGAAATACCATATTTTATAATTGCATTGTATACAGTTTTTGAGAGAGAATCAGTCATGCTATTTTCTATATTTAAGATTTATTCATATCATATGTTAGAGAATATTGAATTTGCATTATATGTGGTATTCTCAGTCCCACCTGATAGCCACATCGATTCTGGGAAGTTTGTTAGAGTTGTTGGTGTTTGCGGTTCTTAATATACTGGACATAAGGCTTGGAGATATGCCGACAGGATTGTAAGTTATAGGAGCAATGGTATCTTTAATTTTTGTTTAGCTAAACATGAGGCCATTAATTGTTGTATATAGCACTGGTTACAATCACAATCTTAACTTGTGTCACACTGGTTACAATCACAATCTTAACTTGTATAGCACTGGTTCCAATCACAATCTTAACTTGTTAGAGGTCAAGTTATATTAATAAACAAATACAATTTAGTCAAACTTATCATGATGAGTTTTTCATTAAAATATATTAATTGTGATACCCCCCTTTCCTCTCCTCCCAACCGCATCCTCTCCTCCCCCCCTCCCCCCCCCCCCCCCCCCCCATTCTTTTTCTCTTCTTTTTCCCATGCAAAAAACAATGACAGGTTCAGTATGGTGTTCCCCTTGTACGTTCCATTTTATTGCTCTGTTCCACGTGTAGCGTTGATGAGTCTGATGGGGGTGCCATTTACAGGCAAGACAGTAAACTACATCCTGGGTTTACAAATGGCCAGTGCAAGAGCTGAGAATATTCTTGTTGTAGGATGTGCTATTGTGAGTTATAGTATCTAACATCCTTCTTAAAACCAAAAAGTAAATATTTAAATAACCTTTTAAACCTGTGAAGCACCATAATTTAGCTTTTAAACTTTGTGAAGCACCATGATTTAGCATTTAATACTTTTACATGTTCTAAAACTCATTTTGTGAAGGGCACCTCCTGTTTTTAGTCATAGAAGAGCATTTAAATTTTTTTATCCTACTCAAGTTTGTGTCCTTTAAAAAAAATATTTATTTTACTGTTTTAGTTAGCTGGAGTACTATGGAGAGCCAATTTCCTAAAAGTCCAAAACGTTCTTCAAGTACCTAAACTTGTGGGCAATCAATTTGATCTCTGTTTGGGCCGATTTTTAGAATCTGCGGAGTCCCCAAAAATATCTCTCCCCATGGGAGCAACTTTAGAACTCCAGCAGCGTGAAAGACTGGACAGAATAGAGGAGCAAATGATGATGTCAGCACTCCAGTCAAGCAGACGTATGGAGATTGGCAGGCCTCAACCTTTGGTATTTTATTTGCTGAGAAAATATCCTATATATTATTATTTAAAGCACAGTGTACAAAAGTGTAATCTTAGAAGAAGTCGTAAATGTAACAATTATTTTAGGTAGTGGAGGCATATTAAAATTGTGCAGATATCAATGTAAATCATTTATTGAATATGTTTATCTATTTTGTTTTCAGAATTTGGCACATGGACTTTTTGGCAATATAAATGTTAATCGCAATTTACCACAGAATCTATCTAACCAAGCAGGTTTGTTGGAAATTAAAACATCACTTTTGAAAATGTGTTTTTTAAAATGGGATTTTTAACTGAAAATTATGAATGGAATTGTTTTGGCCTGCGCTAACCATTGATAAGAGTTGAAAAAAAGAGGATGTTGGGATAACAGCAACTAATGTAACCAACTTGTTTTTTTTTTTTGCTTAGTGACCGTTTCTACCCAAATGAAAAGTGGCATTTAAGTAGTTCCTATATTTCATCAAGCATGCAATTGACATCACAGGCATAAGAATAATACACCACTTTATTTTACAATAAAATATAAAGTATATGTAAGTTAATGGTTTAGTCATTGTTATAAATTAATAAATAATAGTCGAGACTTTGCCAGGTTCAATCAGGGACTATTTTAACTCATTCCCTCCGGCAGTGCTATTTCCGTACTTAATTTATTTTCCTGAGAAAAATTACATATTTTAAAAATTTTTTAAGCTGCTAAATATTAATAAAAGTTAATGAATTAAGGACAAATGCATCAAAAAACGAATAAGGTTTGATAAAATATAACATTAATGGCGAAAAAATAATGAACTGAGGCCAAAAAAATCGATTTTTGACACCTCGGAAAAACACATGCTAGATAGAGACGTGCTGTACTAAAGCACAAATAGTTTTAAAGTGAAACAAGATAAAAACTTCCAGTCTTTAAATTAAAATCAGGCAGAATCACACCATAGCCGGAAGTCTCGAGGGACGCAAGATTTCATTGCTATTTTAAACTAAAAATAAGAGAGGTGTGTCGCTGTGCGCCAGGACGCCTTTGGACGTATCCCCCAAAGGACGCATTTATTTGCAACCGTCAGGAATGAGTTAATTTAACCATTCGCAATAATCAGAAGAAGAAATATATAATTTCACGAAATAGGATACACACTTTGAATCATTTCACTTTATGCCTGATTCTTATAATAATTTCACATCTCCGTCCACTTCAAAATCATTATCTGCAATCACAGTTTTTTTATCATGGCTGCTCAACTCCCAAAACTGTTGCTATCACATGACCCAATCAAACACACTGATTGGTCAGTCTTTACAAATGTATTATAGGTACAGGAATATAGAATATTAACTATATCAGTTGTCTCCCATCAGTGGTCACACATTCAAAATGATATCCTTGACAGGTTTCTCGCATATTTTCTATAAAACAGTCCTGTCCTATAAATTCATATTTTTAAAAAAAACATTATTTTTTGAAAAAATAATACTATTTTTCTGTGCATCTTGAGTGCTGTTTTGTTTTCTTATTAAAATTTTATTTCAGTAAAAGAAGCTTAATTTTTTTGGTCTTACAAATCAGTATGAAATTGTTCTTTATATCTCAGACTTTAATAATTTCATACTATATTTAATAATGAACCTTTTTTATGCAGGTGACACAAATTTACCAGACATTCCTGACAGTGGTGTTTTGGAAGATCAGGTTTGTATGTTTTCTTTGGTCTATTTTCATTGTGTTAGAAATAAAGAGATATTTTTACATTATTCCTTTTTTGTTTCTTCTAATATTTTTATCCGGAACTCTTTAACAGTAAATTTAGTCACTTCTTCTTCTATATCTCGAGGGCCCACGATCAATGTTTTGATCATTCTGCACTTAAGTTGTATTCTACATTTTCTCTCTGAGAGAAGATTTTAACTATTTCAAGAAAACCCCATTTAAAGAGATTCTATAAAGTTGCAGTTATAATCCTCCCAACAAAATATCATCTAATTTTTTATAATCTTGTCCATTTCTTGACATCATAGTATTATGAAGAGTAAATATGTGTTACCGTTAGTTTTTCTCTCTATGAGATATTAACATCTTTCCCCAAAAGGACGGTTAGAAAACACTTTGTACTTCTATTTAAACATGGTTAACATTTACCAGTCGCTGGTCATTTACTGCCATAAAGAATGAGGTTCATGCAGAAATAATAGTTGGGCATGCATGGTGGTGCTATCTCTCTTCATCTGGCATTAAGGAATGTGAACTTAGGTGGATAAAAAGACCTCACATTCCTTTTCTGACCATGACAAATGTATCATAAACTCACTGTACATTTTTAAGAACTCCGCCATGACCACATTGCTCTTCTCTTGCCTCAGATTCGACAGTTTGTAGAGATGGGCTTCAGTGATGAAAGAGTTCGCCAGGCTCTTCGATCAGCCAACAATAACCCAAGACTCGCAACAAATTTTCTGCTGCAGGACATGTGACCCAAAAACCAAGTGTCTCCAGATGGTGTCAGATTATAGAGTTAATTAGTGGAGAAGTTGAATGTCAATAACATATCTCTACATAAAGGGACAAGTAGCACTTATAACTAGACATGTACAATTATAGTTTATTATTCCTTGCAAAAAAGTGTTATCATTGAGAATAAAAATTAATGAAATTCAGTCATCATGATACAAACATAAAGTATACATAGAATGACGACCTTTCAAACTTTTGAACACTATTTTAGGCAGGAGTGGGTAAATAAAATAGTTTAAAGACAGAAGCTATTTTTTTGCGCGGAGAAAATACCTTTTTTTTAAAAAAAACAAATTTTCTTCAATGTAACAAATATACTGGAGAATGTATGGCATTGTTACAACATTTACAGGTGTGTAATATATTTTTCTGCACACAAAAATTAACTAATTCGAATCCTGATGATAGAATCCCGTCTTAAATCTATGTATTTCATATTTTAAAGACTTGTACATGTGACATACATGCAGACTCCATAAAGTTTTACTTCTTATTTCAATGGTTATTGCTGCAGTAAATTGAAAGCAATACTTTTAAAAAATGGCAAATCATAATGCATTTTTAGCCAGAATGTTCCATTAAACTTTTATTGCAACAAAATATCCAGTACTGCGAAGCTAAGACTTTTTAGTTTTAATAGAATTGTAAAAATGTCTCCAATTTAAGTTACGACATTTTTTGTAGCTGTCACTTTTTCTAGTATAGAAAAGCAATTGCGTTGTAAGTCATGAACTGCGGTGGCTGGAGTCATTCATTCTATTACAGCTTAGTTTCCACTCATTCAAACAGTTATTATCAAACACCAATATATCGGATTCATAGGATCACAGTGGTAACAAAGTCAGAGACACCATGTATTTTCATGCCTAACTGTGAGAATTTTCTTTCAATGGGTATGAATTTGTATGGATGAAACTGAAAGGAATTTTAAGTGGGAGAGTGGTTCATGTTTTTATAGGTGAGAGTTTCATTTGTTACTTTATGGTGTGTGGTATATTGAGGTGTTGGGAAAGTCTTGTTGAATCAATGTGTATCAGAACTGTGCAATCATGTCTGGATTTTGATGTTTCAGTGCCTCAATGTGATAAAAATTACAAATAAATAATATTTTAAATATCATTTGGATATACATAATAAAACCTATTGCTTTAACTGTTACTATGTAACTATAGAATCCTTGACACTGTATATTTGTTTCGGGAATTGCGTTATTTATGAACATAGAATATTTTTAGAAAAAGAAGAAAAACGTAATTATCTATTAAATCATTTTTTCTTTAACCCAGTCAGTCCAGTAAATAATTCCTATGTTATTTTTTTGTTTGTCAAATTATTTTTTAATGTTTATCATGAGTACCAAAATCTGTTTGATTTCCATAAGCTTCAACTGTTTTTAATACATCATGTGTGATTGTTGATTTTTTTTAATAAACTGTAATTCCAGTTAAATAAAACTTATGATAAACATTTCAATATTTGTCAAACAAATAATTGTGATTCTTTCCAGGAAACTCAGCTGGCACATAGATTCACATGAAAGAATATGAAGATTTGTTAGTCGTTCAAATTAAATGTTCTTTATTGAAGAAAAAATAATGTAAGTCAGGTTTGGATTTAGACCTGTTGGGGCCCTAACTTTTAGAAAGACCTAACGCAACTGTTGGTAACAGACAATAAGCTCCAAGGTGATGAGGTCAAATTAAATTAGACTTATTTCCCATCCGCCTGATCTGACCCTGAACATGTCGATTCATCACCTGTGCGTGGGGCTCGTCTCAGTACACATTGGTTTCAGAACCTCAGATGTAGACCTATCTAAGTTCTGGCTTATGAAGCTCCCCTTACAAAGAATGGATAAAAAATGTCCATTTTGTATTATGGAGCAGATGAATGTGTACTGGTGTAAGCTGTATTCACTGGGAATGGGTGTTGGGGTCAGTTTTGTCTCTTGGTGAAAATAAAGTCCTTTTTTAAAAAAAAAAAAAAATTGATGGTTTGTTTTAAAGTGCATGCAGAAAGTGTTCCGTCTACAAAAACATGCTAAATGTGCTTTACTTTTGAACCCTCACTGTTTTCTATTTGGCCATCTTGTTGGGGTTTTTTCTTATAAGATAATGGGATCAATAAAATTTATTGTAAACAATTAATGATGTTATTATTATTTTTATTTTTTTTAAAACATGTTTCTATAAACAGAAGATTTGACAAAATTTGGTTTATACTACAAGGTCCATTGAGCCATGAACAGCAGGGGTGAGAGAACAGCAGGGGTGAGAGAACAGCAGGGGTGAGATATGTGCAAGCTGGTTCCATTGAGCCATGAACAGCAGGGGTGAGATATGTGCAAGCTGGTTCAATTGAGCCATGAACAGCAGGGGTGAGATATGTGCAAGCTGGTTCCATTGAGCCATGAACAGCAGGGGTGAGATATGTGCAAGCTGGTTCCATTGAGCCATGAACAGCAGGGGTGAGATATGTGCAAGCTGGTTCCATTGAGCCATGAACAGCAGGGGTGAGATATGTGCAAGCTGGTTCCATTGAGCCATGAACAGCAGGGGTGAGATATGTGCAAGCTGGTTCACTGTATTATTCTAAATATTCACAAATTGATCTTTTAAAAATTCAAATTAACAAATTTTTTTTACCACTCTTGATATTATTAATCAGCTTATTCCTCTTAATATTTCCATTTCTCATTGTCGTTATTGAGAATTATATAACAGAATTTTAGAGGCACAAGTACTAGTATCCTTGAATATCATTTATTTTTTATGAATGATAGCTATATGATTTTTATTGGATAAATAAAGAATTCAAAAATATAGACATAATTGTAATTAAATCTGGAAACAGAAACAATCACATATCCAGATTCCAAGGATGTGTTTGGGGAATATGGCTTTCAAAAATTATGGAGACCTTGACCTCTAGCTCTGCAGCAGTTGTTTTGTTCACTTCGATTCTCTGCTTGTTGTGGGCTGCTAGCCTATTGTTCTGATTCCAAGAAGATATGTGTTTTCAAGTTTATATATCAATACCATGTATCTCCTATAAATTATCATGAAATGTTACTAGCTGTGCTCAATAAGCCCTAAAGTTTTAAGAAAATATTATTACATAAAGGTTGGTTTTCTTTAGCTTTTTCAAAACAAAAAATAAAAGTGTCAATAACTCAATTGTAAATAAAGGTCTTTATTTCTCACCAACAGCTGTTCTGTTTTAATTCAATTGTAAACATATTTTTCATGACACATACGGTATTTTACGGCGTATAAGAGGACTTTTTAGCCCATGAAAATCTTTTCAAAAGCTGTGTGTGTGTGGGGGGGGGTGTCATCTTGTACGCCGGGGGTCGTCTTATAAGATGGTAGACAGACCTAACCCTATATTTTAACAGGAAAAGTAGGGGGGGGGGGTCGTCTTATAAGCTGGTATACGGTGTGCTTAAATTTCAGGGACATGCGCCCTCTGTATGGAGCAGGCGACCAGGTGGACTTATTCAAAAACGTAGTCTACTGGTGTGGGATATGATCGGGGATCATACTTGTGTGGGATATGATCAGGGCTCATTTAACTCCCAGCACTAAGCAAAGGCTGGCAGGAATAGACACAGCTGTGGCAGTTATTAATACAGCCACTGGATGTGTGCCTGGGATTGACATCGTTGGTACAGCCACTGGATGTGTGCCTAGGATTGCCATCGTTGGTACAGCCACTGGATGTGTGCCTAGGATTGGCATCGTTGGTACAGCCACTGGATGTGTGCCTAGGATTGACATCGTTGGTACAGCCACTGGGCGTATGCCTAGGATTGACATCGTTGGTACAGCCACTGGATGTGTGCCTAGGATTGACATCGTTGGTACAGCCACTGGATGTGTGCCTAGGATTGACATCGTTGGTACAGCCACTGGATGTGTGCCTAGGATTGGCATCGTTGATACGGCCACTGGGTGTGTGCCTTAGCAAGCCATTTAGAGATCGCATTCGTGAACAGTAAAATAAGTGGATGGTTAGCGGCGAAAAGTCATTCACAAAGGATGAAACATGCGTGCTCCAGAGTTGGATGTTTTGTGCAAGTTTGTCGTAAAAGCCTGGAATGATATTGATGCAGAAACAGTATTCAAATCTTTCAAGAAGTGTGGCATATCAAATTCATTAGAGATGGTATGGAGGACGACTTATTGTGGGAGGTAAAGAGGAAGCCGAAGCTGAGTCTACACCATCTGATATGGAATTAGATCCTTGCGATGACTGCCTTACAAATGTATCACAAGATGCCGTTGATGTACTTTTGGTATCAGATGACGAACGGGGGGGGGGGGGATGTTAATTGTTTTTAA